GGGCCAGGTTTGAACCTGCCACCCTCGGTATATGGGGCTGGTACCCTACCCACTGAGCCACAGGTGCCACCCATTCTTATTAACTTTAAAAAAGAACATGAAAGGAAAAAAGAAAAAGGCATCTACTAAGGCAGTGATCTCTAAACTTTTTGGCACCAGGGACCAGTTTCATGAAAGACAATTTCAGGCCATGGACTGTTGGGTACCACAGTGCTAAGACAAGAGTATAGGAGAAATGAGAATGATTAGAGGGACCAGCTGTGTGACATCTTACCTTTTCTCAGATAAGTTCTTGACATAGGCTTGGCTAACAAAATCTGTTGGTTGAAACATTGGGCAAGATGCACTGTTCTTCTCACAGTCTTTGAAATGTACAGAGAGAAACACCTCATTGAGAAGCAGCAGTGCTTGTGGGGTGACTGTGTTTCTTGCTGTGCATATGTTTAGGGCTGCATAGACCACTCCCTCCAGCCACTTGATATTGAGGGTTATTCCCCCTACACATCAATGAGAAGGTAAATGCCAGTTAGTATCACTAAAAATGAGTTGCAGGGAATCTAGAACAAACTCTAGACAGTGAAAACCCACCTTTTCTCAAAGACAGGTTTGTAATATGAACCATGAGATAAGCAAACACTCCTCCTTCCTAGGCCAAGAGTCCTATTTCTGCCCTTTATAACTCAGGTTTTGACCATCACAAAGAAGGACAGGTATGACTAATGTAGACATTGCTAATGGTAAAAGTGTGTCTAGAATGGTTGTTGATAATAATAAGGAGGAACTGGGGAAAACTGCAAGATTAGAACAGGGAAAAGCCATTTTAGTTCCAGACATTGCATCCTCCTGCTTAAATAAGCTATCTCTTCTGGTTGTGGGCCCGTTTGTCTTTAAAAGGTCCAAATAATCAAGCTGCTCAGCTATCCCTAAGAAAGGGTGCTTTTTACTACCAAACAGTATTCCAATACAAAAACTAAATAGAGGCCAGGTGAGGTGGCTTATGCCTGTAATCCTCGCATTCTGGGAGGCCAAGACAGGTAGATTGCCTCAGCTCACAGGTTTGAGACCAGCCTGAGCCAGAGCAAGACCTCCTCTCTAAAAACAGCTGGGCATTGTTGGGGGTGGGAGGATACCTGTAGTTCCCACTACTTGGGAGGCTGAGGCAAAAGAATCGTTTGAGCCCAAGAGTTTGAGGTTGGTGTGAGCTGTGATGCCATGCCACTCTATCAAGGACAACAAAGTGAGACTTTGTCTCAAAAACAAAACAAAACAGCCAGGTGTGGTGGTTCATGCCTGTAATCCCAGCACTTGGAAGGCCGAGGCAGATGGACTGCCTAAACTCATGAGTTCAAGATCAGTAAGAGGGAGACTCCATCTCTAAAAATAGCCGGGTGTTGTGGGGGCACCTGTAGTCCCAGCTACTTGGGAGGCTAAGGCAAGAGGATCGCTAGAACCCAAGAGTTTGAGGTTGCTGTGAGCTAAGGCACCACAAGGGTTTGTCATAAAGGTGACAAAGTGAGACTCTGTCTCAAAACAAAAACAAAACAAAACAAAACTTAAATAGCTATGAATATATCTAGCTCCTGCCCAACTCTACCCCCCAACACACACTGGGATTTAGTAAGATAGCAGCAGGCCAAAGGGAAGGTAATTTTCTTTCTTTCTTTTTTTTTTTTTTGAGATGGAGCTTCAAGCTATCCCCCTGGGTAGAGTGCCATGGCATCAC